AGAACCTCAACAGTACGTCGTCTTGATGGCACGTTGATTGTAGTACCTCAATTTTTGAGCTTTCCATGGTAACCACTAACGGATTTTTTTTCGGCCAAAAAGATTCTGGTTTGCTTAGCCAGGGTGGTCCTGTCCACCACAACGAGTTACATGATAAATCCTGGGTATTCGATCCACGGGTGCCTAAATCTGCTGGATTTTCATGGGTGGAAACATAATTCCATTTTGAGTTAGGAACCAATTCTAATATTTGAGATGTACGGTTTGCTACGTATGTCTCCCATGACATGGGAGGTTTGGACAGCCAACCAAGAACAATTGAGGAGTCTGCCCACAACGAAATGCGACTTACATTGAGTTCGAATGTCTGTGTAACATAATGAATCAACTTAGCGAGAAGGAGTGCTCCATTAAGTTCTAGCCTTGGGAGTGACACCACTTTTAATGGAGCTACTTTACTTTTGGCTGTGAATAGAGTGGACGATATATTTGATTGGGAATTCTGTGAGCGAATATAAATGCACGCGCAATACGCAGCTTTTGAGGCGTCACAGAATCCATGTAACTCAATGTTATTAGTGGGCATGTAGTGTATCCATCTAGGGATTTTGATGGTTTCGACATGAGATACATCGGATAGAAAATTGTTCCATTGGATTAAAAATTCGGGGCTGATTTCTTCATCCCACTGTGCGCCTTGCAACCACAGTTTTTGCATAAAAATCTTGGCTCTAATAATTATGGGAGCTATCCAACCAGCTGGGTCAAACAACTTTGCTACCGATGATAGTACTGTGCGTTTTGTAATTTTTACATGGTTTTCAATGGGAGGGAGATAATACATGAACTGATCTTGTTGAGCATCCCACCTAACGCCCAATGTTTTAGTGGAACTTTTTTCAGAAAATTTTAACAAGTCTAAATCATAGACATCATCAACAGGTAAATGATCGAGTAATTGAGAATTATTAGCGGTGAACTTTTTTAATGGGAATCCAGCGGATTTGAGGACAGAGATTAGCTGTTTTTGAGAATCAATTGTTTCTTTTATCGAAAAACCACCAGACAGAATGTCGTCTACATATGTTTCATTTTTCAGAATTTTAGCAACATTTGGGAACTTTTCTTCAGAGTCTTTGGCGAGCTGTAAGAGGGTTCGTATGGCCAAAAAAGGAGCACAATTAACACCAAAAGTAACAGTGTTTAATTCATAATCTTTTATGGGACCTTCAACGTCTTTTTGAAATAGAATTCTTTGAAATTTCGCGTCATCGGGATGTATCTTAATTTGCCGATACATTTTTTGGATGTCTCCACTGTAAACCCGCCGTTGGACCCGGCGGCATGTCTAAACTAGATTGTTTAGACTTATATCTTTAAGTAAACATGAATTATCGCTATTGAACTAATGTTAGATCTAGTTATTTCACTAAAAAATACTGCATTATCTCTATTGAATTCATTAGTATTAACTTAACGAATATGTCAGTTAATGAGATATTTTGGAATTGAAACAATCACCTAAATTGATTTATATTTCTTGGTTGGTGGCAAACCAACATTTTAGTCCACTTTTATTTGAACTTTTGCACGGTGAGAACATCTTTGTCAGCAATAAAGCTCGAGCAGACAATCTACTAAAATTGGTTTTATTTCCCACTTCTCTTATCTTTCGTCTTAAGCTCCTATACTCGTACCTCAATAATTTTCTCCTTTTAGAGAAAATTATTTGTAGCAGCACTAAAACCTAAAAACTTTTTTTTTACGGATTCCCTTCGCTGACTCCCTTTTGCCAATCAAGCCGAATACAGTCCACACTAATTGCTCTCAAAGCTGGGTATTTTGAAACAGGTTCCACTCATACCCATTCAGAAGCGCTCTTACTCAACCGCCAAACCTGTACATGGTCCTATCGAGCCTCCCTTAAAAAGCCCTTCATCATCATGGTAAATAGGAGAAAAAGCTCTAGCAGATCGTCATCTCAAAGAAGAAGGTAAAACAAAAACTAGAAAAAGTGCATTAACGTAGTTCTCCGTGGATTATCAAAGCGTACTGTTGACAGGTCGTAAAAAATAAATTCCCAAAAGTGTCAAGAAAAAAAAAAACAACAACAAAAACTCGCCTTATTAGTTGCAGAAAATCTGAAAAAGTCTGTCCATTCCAATAGGATTTAAAAATCATTTACCACGTTGTCCGTGCCTACATACCAAGTTCTTAAATCCCGAAAAATATATATTTTTTTTTTTTTTTTGTCCGTTATAACGGTTTACACCAACAAACCTGCTCAATAAAAACAACAATAAAGTGTCCGACACAAAGTTAGAAATCATTTATCGCATTGTCCGTGTCTACATACACCAAGTTCTTAAAAAAAAAAAGTGAAACCCCAATTTGTTGTCCCTTTTGTACAAAATCTCCCAACAACAACAATAAAGTACATGCCACAAAATTAAAAATTAGCTACATGGTGCAGATCATAAGCAACCCAAATTTATTTTACATACCTAATTAAAAAAAAAAAAATAAACGGTGCAAATGTTCGTCCAACAAAATTCTAAAACAACAAATAGTTATTGGAAAAAAAAGAAAATATTAGAAAGAATAAAAAGTCTGAAAAAGACACCGTTATAAAGTTCTCCAATTTGATATTCTCATCTTCATTCTTGCAAAAAATTATTGGATTCTGGTGGTGGTTTACACAAAGTGCATACATACATATTGTTCTTTTTTCCTTCTTCACATCATTTCGCCATTCCACTAGTATAACAACAGAAACAAGTGTTATACATAATCATATGTTACTCAATATCACAGTGAGTGCATAACAAATGAGAGAAGAAAAGCTTTTGAGATCAAAGAGTAACTAGACATCGAGTTTAGAAATTTTGTAAGTTGGCAACGCGACAGACAAATTATACATCATAAACAAACAAATATGTCAAAAAGTTCAACAGGTTTGACTTTTACGATTTAATGTATGTTAAACATACTCCGCAAAAATAATAAAGTGCTAAAGTGAACAAAATTTAAACAATGGTGAATTGTCCTCTTTCTTTCGCTGATGTGTTCAACAATTTTTGAGAAATAGCCAACGTCGATGTTCCTTGTTTAGAGAGTCCAATAGGATATGGTTGTTGGAATACATACACTCATAAAAAAAAATCAATCACATTCGGATATCGGTCTTGAATAAAAGAAACAAATGGAAACCTTTTTACCTTGCCCATGGAAAACGAGGTAAATAAAAATTACATTGTTATACCAATATCGATCATCAAAACACATTATAAACATACACACGTCTCGAAATCGCACATTGCCTATTGCTCATGGTTTATACCATTCGTTAACATTGAATAAATTTACGTAAACCCAAATTCAAAAAACGATATAAAATCAGAACGTATTCATCCGCAAAAAAAAAAATTTTTTTTTTTTTTTTTTTGAATACCAACATCGAAAAAAAAAAAAAAAAACAATCAGTGTATAATATTCGATTTATTTATTTATTTCAAACACAAATCTATAACACAAATAAATTTGTGCTTCTTCGAACTTGACAACATACAGTGAGCGCTTAAATAACATATTATCAAACTATCTTGTTAAAACAAATTTACTAGCTGTCCAATATCCAAACATCAAATTGGAAACAAGTGGTTACTGTAGTAACAATTCGTCTACGCTGGTTTTACAGGAGTTTGAAATATGATTTAAACTTGAACACAAATAAATTTGGGTCCATATACATTCATAGAACTAATTTCTCATGCATACATAAAATTTATCTATTCCAGGGGTGGTTAAAATTACTCTTAAATACGTTATAAGGAAAAACTTAAAACAGCGTTTTTTGGTGGCATTTTTTTACTTTTTGCAATATTTATATGTCATAAATGGCATTTATAAAAATAATTTATTAAAAATACAATAACAAAACAACTCGTAAATATTGATTTATGTTGTAACAACGTAAAAGTGAAACGAGCCACAGCAACGCTGGCGTGTAAGAAAGCCCATCTATGATCTAGTCAGTCAAGAGCTTATCTTTAAGATGGTATTTGCATATTTCTTCCATCCAAATTTATATCTTGGAGCTTATTAATAACAATATCATGCATATTTGTTACTTGCTCTTAGATTTTATATTCTCTCATCTCTTTATATTACACACTCTTAGAAATTGAAAGAGATAAATATTCTTATTCTAAGTAGTCGCTCTTATTTTTATGAAGAATTACACCCACCAATTGTCTAATTAAATTGACGTTCACTTTGGAAGTTATTTAACAAGTTATACAATAACGTTCTTTTAAAATTTTATAAAGGTTTATTTACACGCAGTTTTCTTCACAAATTGTTCGCAATCAACCTTAAGCTGTACACTTATATAACAGTGTCTGCAGCATATCTCAGTTTTTTGGTTTTATAAAGCACATTTATTTTTTTACAAGGTTTACAATCAGCCTTATGCTACACTCACACAGTAGTGTCTATAGCTTCTCTTATTTTTGGGTCTTTATAAAACGTAGTCAGCTTTATTCTATATTCCCATACTGTAGTGTCTGTAGCAACTCGGAAATTTGGGTATCGAAAAACGGAAGCATTTATTTTTGTCTCTAAAGGTTTACAATCAACCACAAGCTATACGCTCATGCAGAGTGTCTATAGCATATCGCGTTTCTGGTTTTCATACCAAGCCTACTGACTCTACAATCAATCTCAAACCCATACACTTGAATAAGAGTACCTGCAACAGTTTCTCAGAATAACAGTTTCCAAAAAAAAAAAAAAAAAAAAAAAAAAAAAAAAAAAAAATTAAATCTTTGTGAGAAAGCTCAACTTGCCACAATTTTACACTCGAGCAAAATCGATATTTTGCCTCAAAAATTTCCTCACGATATTAAGAAACCTGAAGGTTAATTAGCATTTTTTTTTCATTTTAATCACATAGCGCTTAGCAAACAATTAATTTTTATTTGCACAAAGAAGCAATAAAAATGGCTGAGAGCAATCAACCCAACCAAAATAAAGCAGAAAGGGAAAGCTTGGTGAGCAAACCCTCTCCCATTCATGAACAATTTATTTTTGATTGCGATCATGTAATAAGTTTCTGCACGGCGTTTGGGAAAACAGACATAACTGACCAAACAGATTCTGTTCTAAGAACAAAGCTTGAGGACTTAGAAAATAGGTGGAAAAAGCTTCAGGTAGACTATGAGAAACTTATGATATCCCCTGAATCATGTAACACAAAGGACTTCAGAGAAAATGCTAAAGTCAATTTCAATGTATGTGCTGAAGCATATTACGAGACCCGCTCTCAAATTACAGATATTTTAAGAATGTCTGAGCCTAGGCAAAGTTTAGCCCCTCAAGTTCCACAAAATGCTGAAGGCTGTGACACTTCTAATATATCTATAAAGGTTCCACCATGCGACACAGAGGTTTTCAAAGGTAGTTACGAAGAATGGCCATCTTTTCGTGACATGTTCACGGCCGTTTACATAACCCACAAAAAGCTCACACCTGCCCAAAAACTCTATTACCTACGCAACAAAACAAAAGGTAGTGCAGGAGCTATAGTAAAGAGATATCCACTTTGCGACGAAAACTTTGACATGGCATGGAATGCACTAAAGACCCGCTATGAAAATAAAAGAGTTCTGGTAGACAACCAACTTAAAATACTATTCAATATGAACACAGAAAATGTGGAAAGTAGCACATCATTACAGAAAATACACTCGACTGTAAATGATTGTCTCTGTACTCTAAAATCCTTAGACGTAAAAGTCGACAGTTGGGATCCCATACTAATTTATTTAATTTCAACAAAACTCCCCGAAGAAACAATTTCACAATGGGAACAATCCTTAAAATCTCATCGCGAGCTTCCCAGTTGGTCCCAATTAGATGAATTCCTTTTAAATAGAATCGAGGTTGTTGAAAGAATTACCAGTATCAAGTCTTCAAAAGAACATCATAGTCTATCTTCATGGCATTCCACTCGTTCTCCACAAAAAACTCAGACGTATACTTCACAAGAAAAGTTGAGCTCTTCTTGCCCATTATGTGACGGTGACCACTCTATACGCACATGTTCACAATTTCGCAATTTTACAGTACAAGAACGTATTGACTTTGCATTTAAGAGCAAAATTTGTAATAATTGCCTTTCTAGTTCTCATTTCAAAAGCAAGTGTAAGAGCAAAAGCAGCTGTCTTTATTGTAGAAAACGTCATCACACTCTCTTGCACTTAGATCAGCCTAAAGAATCCAGTTCTGAAGATATAAAGATTAAAAAACCGTTCTCACACTCTGATGGAAATACCAGAGAATTCAAAGTAGACACATCTACTGCTACCACGTCCAAACATTCTCATTCCCAAATACACGCAAATGTTTGTCACAACAGTGAAACAATTTTGCTAAGAACAGCCTTGGTGCAAATTCAACGCAATGGAGAACTCTTCACAGTAAGAGCATTGCTTGACTCAGGCTCCCAAAGAACCTTCGTCTCTGAGAAAATTAGGAAAATGCTACGAATTCCCTTTAGAAAGTCCTTTTTTGAAATCGGTGGTATCGGCGGTATGACTCAAACAGCGGATAAGGAGTGTGATCTTGTGCTCTACTCTAAGAAATACGATGTGATATGTTCGATTAGTGCAATCGTTCTGCCCAAAGTGACTAAAAAGTTACCTTCGGTGACATTTCAAAAACCCAACTCCATTGATCTGCAAAAACTAGACTTAGCCGACCCAAACTTCAATAAATCGTCCAATATTGATTTAATTCTGGGCAACGACTCAGAAAGATTTATTAACTTGGAAGGAATTAAGAAAAACATTTGTGGTACTACTTCTGCGTATAACACCATTTTCGGGTGGGTACTTAGTGGTCCTATGTCCGTCGAGACAGTTCAATCGTTTTCCACAAATGTGGTCTCAAGTGAAGATGAAAATATTAGCTCTATTCTTAGGATGTTTTGGGAAACAGAAGAAGTTCCAACAATTCCTTCCTCCTCTCCTTCTGATAAATATTGCGAAGAGTTATTTGCAACAACAACAACACGAGATTTAGATGGCCGATATGTTGTACGGCTCCCGTTTAAAAAAGAATTCCCCCATGATATGTTCTTAGGATCTTCGAGATTCATTTCTCTAGGCCAATATACAAGACTTGAAAAATCGTTAGCCAAAGATCCAATGCTTCAGGCTGAATACAACGCAGTTCTGAAAGAATATTTAACTCTGAATCATATGCAAGAAACATCGTCCCAAGAAATATGTGATCAAGGTAAATTCTACACGTTTTATCTCCCACACCACGCCGTTGTGCGTCCCGATCACAAATCGACGAAAGTAAGAGTCGTTTTCAATGCGTCGAGAAAGTCAAAGTCTGGGTTTTCACTTAATGATGTTCTCTACACAGGTCCCACTCTCCAAAACGAGCTCATATCCACAATTCTCAATTGGAGAAAATACAAATATGTTTACAGTGGAGACATCCAAAAAATGTATCGGCAAATTAAGATACATCCCGATGACGCGAAATTTCAAAGAATTCTATTTCAAAAAGACGTTGAAGGTCCCATAAAAGATTATGAATTAAACACTGTTACTTTTGGTGTTAATTGTGCTCCTTTTTTGGCCATACGAACCCTCTTACAGCTCGCCAAAGACTCTGAAGAAAAGTTCCCAAATGTTGCTAAAATTCTGAAAAATGAAACATATGTAGACGACATTCTGTCTGGTGGTTTTTCGATAAAAGAAACAATTGATTCTCAAAAACAGCTAATCTCTGTCCTCAAATCCGCTGGATTCCCATTAAAAAAGTTCACCGCTAATAATTCTCAATTACTCGATCATTTACCTGTTGATGATGTCTATGATTTAGACTTGTTAAAATTTTCTGAAAAAAGTTCCACTAAAACATTGGGCGTTAGGTGGGATGCTCAACAAGATCAGTTCATGTATTATCTCCCTCCCATTGAAAACCATGTAAAAATTACAAAACGCACAGTACTATCATCGGTAGCAAAGTTGTTTGACCCAGCTGGTTGGATAGCTCCCATAATTATTAGAGCCAAGATTTTTATGCAAAAACTGTGGTTGCAAGGCGCACAGTGGGATGAAGAAATCAGCCCCGAATTTTTAATCCAATGGAACAATTTTCTATCCGATGTATCTCATGTCGAAACCATCAAAATCCCTAGATGGATACACTACATGCCCACTAATAACATTGAGTTACATGGATTCTGTGACGCCTCAAAAGCTGCGTATTGCGCGTGCATTTATATTCGCTCACAGAATTCCCAATCAAATATATCGTCCACTCTATTCACAGCCAAAAGTAAAGTAGCTCCATTAAAAGTGGTGTCACTCCCAAGGCTAGAACTTAATGGAGCACTCCTTCTCGCTAAGTTGATTCATTATGTTACACAGACATTCGAACTCAATGTAAGTCGCATTTCGTTGTGGGCAGACTCCTCAATTGTTCTTGGTTGGCTGTCCAAACCTCCCATGTCATGGGAGACATACGTAGCAAACCGTACATCTCAAATATTAGAATTGGTTCCTAACTCAAAATGGAATTATGTTTCCACCCATGAAAATCCAGCAGATTTAGGCACCCGTGGATCGAATACCCAGGATTTATCATGTAACTCGTTGTGGTGGACAGGACCACCCTGGCTAAGCAAACCAGAATCTTTTTGGCCGAAAAAAAATCCGTTAGTGGTTACCATGGAAAGCTCAAAAATTGAGGTACTACAATCAACGTGCCATCAAGACGACGTACTGTTGAGGTTCTCTGGGTATACACGAGCTTTACGAGTTTTATCATACGTATTCCGTTTCTTTTTCAATTCCCTCACGAGATTCAGGAATACCCACAAATTCCCTACAAAAAATCTATCACACACAGAGATTCAGTTTATAAAATCAAGATTGATTTCCCTGGCTCAAGAAAGACACTATCATCAAGAATATGAATCTCTAATGAGTGCCAAACCAATTCCAATCAAAAGCAATTTATGTACACTCAACCCGTTTTTAGATTATGACAACATCATGCGAATCAATGGAAGACTTTCTGACTCATCACTTCCCTACAAAGAACGACATCCCGTCATTCTTCCCGGCAACTCCAGATTATGCCACCTCTATCTCGCCCATCTTCATATTTTTTTGGGACATGCCGAATGCAATCTGTTATGTAGATTTACGCAAACAGAATTTTATATTTCACGCTTAAAACCCAGAGTCAAAAGCATAATCCACAAATGTAAGACGTGCATTTTATATAAACAAAAGGCAATATCTCAAATGATGGCCCCTTTACCCGCAGAAAGATGCACTTTTTCACCTCCGTTCTCTATTACCGGCGTCGACTTTGCAGGCCCAATTGAACTAAAAAGTTCTTCCATCCGCAATTCTCCAATTATAAAAGGATACGTGAGCGTGTTTGTATGCTTTTCAACAAAAGCAATACACCTTGAACCCTGCTCGGACTTATCCACTGCGGCCTTTGAAGCGGCATTCACTCGGTTTGTTGGGAGGCGGGGACTCCCCTCCAGGGTAGTATCCGATAACGGAAGGAATTTCGTAGGAGCAAGTAGAATACTACTCAAAGAATTTTCAATTTTTCTCAAATTAACTTCCACTGAGATTTCCCAAAAATACGCAACACATGGGTTTGAATGGCAGTTTATTCCCCCTCATGCACCTCATATGGGCGGACTATGGGAAGCTGCCGTAAAAAGCTTCAAAATCCACTTTAAGAAAATTTGTGGTGCCCATAGATTAAATTTCGAAGAATTTTCCACTTTGCTTGCTCGAATTGAAGGAATTTTAAACTCTCGGCCCATCTCAGCAATATCAGAAGATCCTTCAGATATAACAGCTCTTACCCCGGGGCATTTCTTAAGAGGATCACCTATAATGGCGTTCCCCGAAAATTCAACCCAAAATATCTCCGTTATAAATCGATGGACAAAGTTAAAAGCTCTCCATAACACATTCATTCTACGTTGGAAGGAAGATTACTTAAAATCCCTTCAGAAACGCTACAAATGGAAAACAAGAACGACAAACCTGAAGACTGGCGATATGGTTATTGTCATGGATGACCTCCTGCCTCCCCATGAATGGCGTCTAGGCCGAATTGTAAAAACGTACCCCGGCTCTGACGGAGGTGTTCGGGTAGCCGACATTCAAGTTGCTACCGGTTTAATTAATAGACCAATCGTCAAATTATGTTTTCTACCATTATCGAACTCAACAAACAACGATTAAACTTGCCTACAGATATCCTTCACTCATTAATATACACGCTACACTATATTCCCTTTATATAACTATTTGCATATAAATTAATTTGTATCATACATTTGCAGATCACAAACTCCAAGTAACAAAGCGGAAATATACCAATGCAAACTCTGCAAAAGATTCCACTCCCTCAAGGTTTGCCCAAAATTTATTGATATGACACCTAGACAGAGGAATTTACTGGTGTTGAAAGAATCATATTGCGTCAACTGCTTAGCAAGAAGCCACCGCTTCCGAGACTGTCGGTCGCGCAACATGTGCCGAACATGTGGTCGACCTCATCATACACTATTGCACCAAGTATATCCTGAGATCAGAGGTTCACAATCAAACACACAAAGCACAACCAATCCACCTAGGTCTAATAATCGAAAGGTCAACCGCAACAACAATGGACAGCCTAACGAACAAAACCTGGATCCCCAAATACTATCTGAGGCCATACGTGCCATTGCTTCCGTACTTTGCTCCGCTAACAAATAAGCAATCATCGTTGGACCCGGCGGCATGTCTAAACTAGATTGTTTAGACTTATATCTTTAAGTAAACATGAATTATCGCTATTGAACTAATGTTAGATCTAGTTATTTCACTAAAAAATACTGCATTATCTCTATTGAATTCATTAGTATTAACTTAACGAATATGTCAGTTAATGAGATATTTTGGAATTGAAACAATCACCTAAATTGATTTATATTTCTTGGTTGGTGGCAAACCAACATTTTAGTCCACTTTTATTTGAACTTTTGCACGGTGAGAACATCTTTGTCAGCAATAAAGCTCGAGCAGACAATCTACTAAAATTGGTTTTATTTCCCACTTCTCTTATCTTTCGTCTTAAGCTCCTATACTCGTACCTCAATAATTTTCTCCTTTTAGAGAAAATTATTTGTAGCAGCACTAAAACCTAAAAACTTTTTTTTTACGGATTCCCTTCGCTGACTCCCTTTTGCCAATCAAGCCGAATACAGTCCACACTAATTGCTCTCAAAGCTGGGTATTTTGAAACAGGTTCCACTCATACCCATTCAGAAGCGCTCTTACTCAACCGCCAAACCTGTACATACAGAATACAAATTTTGTAATTTTTCACACAAAAGTCAGGGTCCATTTGACCCGCTAAATATTGACCGATCTTTATCAAAACAGGCATGCTTATTTTTTGGCCCGATCTCCTTCTCCACGCAAAAATTCGTGGTGTTTGAGCCATAATTGCGGCCTCTTTAGCGACCAGAAAATCAGACAAAAATAAAGTTTTTAGTCCATTCCATCCCCTAAATATTAACCGATCTTTTCCAATAGGGGGTTCATTGGCCAGAACCCATTCTACATGCAATATTTTGTGAAGATTGGTCCATAACTTGTGGCCTGTATCGTGTTTACAAATTATATAACTGGTTCTACATGACGATTAGTCCATAATTTTTGTCCATATGGAGTTTAAAAATTACACTGTACGACAAAAATTTGGGAAGTGAAAAATGTCTGTTGGGGATGAAAGACCAATAAAAATAGAAACCCCAGAAAAAAATAGGTCAAAGTTCGGAGACATAACGTGAACTTTTTTTTCTTGCTGGTGACCTTTTATACATGAAGAGAGATTCGATTCATATCTTCATTTGAAGATAACATTTCTTTAGTAAAATTAAGTCCGGAATTTTTTTGTAGAACATTTCATCCTTTTAACTCGATTCGTTGTGTGTCCTTTTCGTCCTTTATTTATTGAACCGGACTCCAATTATCACAAGATGCGATTTTTCATCCTCGCAATGTTCTATAAAAATGTTGCTCATAAAATTTTAGGTGGAGTCTTCAAAGATCCAAAATCGGCATTTAAAAGATGTATTAAAATCGGAGAAATGATCCAAGTTGACCGGCATGTTAGCAGTCGTAACATCGCCCAGAAGCTAAAAATCGACCATAAAACTGTTTTAAACCATATACACAAAGCTCGATGTT